TTATTATTATTATTATTATTATTATTATTATTATTATTATTATTATTATTATTAATCATACATTTACTAAAAAAATGTAGAAACAAATACAATTAATTTTCAATATACAGGTAATTAGCACTTTTTGATATATGCATAAAGTCATATGACTCAAAAACTAACTTTACAGTTTATCTGTTTGAAATTCAATAGCAAAATTTTATGTTTTTTGAAAGGAATTTATATTCCTCTCGTCTTCCAGTAACCCCCAACACCTCAAGTCATCTTCAGCTTACAGAGGGAAGTTTAGTACTCACATTGGGAATCATGGACTTGAAGCAAAGTAAAAAGCAGTATCTTCTATTCAATAATAAAGATTATATAAGTTGTAATTTAAAAAAATATTGTGTGATGAAAAATAAAAAATTAAATCTTGCCGTTAGGTCCAATGTTTTATGGCAATCTCAAAAAGTAATGTATTTAGTAAATGTACTGTAGAGTATGTTCAGTAGAGCTGGAAGTATTTATGAAGACCAACAAAAAATACTTATTTCCTATAAATGCAGAAGCATAAATGTTTCTTCATTACAATTTATTACTCTTGAATTGTGATTATTAATAAATAATGTTTGCTCATGATCATTTATTAAAGTTACATTTGTTTTGGAAAGAAACAGCTAACAATCTTTGATAATAAACTTACTTTTAAAAATCATATTGATAAAATAGTTAAATCGCTGGCTATTAGATGTGGAATATTATGGTGTTTCTGTAAACCTATCTCATCTGAAAGTGCATTAATAGCAATTTTCTTTACTAATTTTCAGTCTTGCATTGATATGACTATCCATTTAGTCTGTCTGTGCCTACACATTCTCTTTTGGATAAAAATGCTAGAGCTCTTGATAAAATTTATCATCTACCTTTTAATAAATTATACAACTTACTATACACTCAAATTCCTAGCTTTGATAGGATTAGGTTAGGTTTTGCTTCATTTTTGCTACAAAAATACAAAATCAAAATAGCAAGTCAAGTATTTTGATCTCTTACATTATTTAAAATTTTTTAATGGCTTTATTTATCATGAATTTTTTTTACTTATCCTAATGAAAAAACCTAAATCCTTCATCTTGTGCATTTACTTCATTTGATTTTATTCCAAAGGTCTCTTTTAATCATATTTTTGAAATTTAAATAATTTTGATAATTTTTCATTTCTTACATTTTTCTTGTTTTAAATTAAAATGCAAAAATGCATTGCATAATTTTTAATTTTATGTAATTTGTTGTCTTTGCTTTTTATGTATATTTGTTAATTTTGAAGGATGAATATGAACTGTTCTTTGAAACTTTTCCATTTATTTCTAAAACTAAATAAATACATTTAGCTTACAAATGCTGTCAGATCACGACTAAACAGACACATAAAATACCTGCGTAGCTAATTAGTTAGTATGATATTTTTCAAACTCTGTATATATAAATATAATTTTCAGAAATAGTTGCATTCACATTGTTTTGTTTTTATTTGAAATATAAATTATTTCTCTGTAATTAAATAATCAAAGTACTTTTTTATTATTATAATTTCATAATTCATCAAATACTTACGAGTGAAACATACTAGCAAGTACAATTTTTTCATTTGTATTTAATTTTGGTCGACCAAATTTTATATTGATAGGATAGTTTTCTTCAGCTTTTAAAATATCAAAAACATCTCTGCCATCTTCCAATTGTCTTCCATTAACAGCAATTCCATTTATAGACATTAAAGTATGACCAACTGAAACATTAAAACAAGAATTTAAAACATAATCAAAAATTTTAGCATATTTAGAAATTATTATTATAAAATCTTCATTTACAATATTACATTTAGGAAATTAGATAATTAGTTCTCACACAAATATATAATTATGTGAAATCACAACTTAATGCAATTGGCCCTCTGTATCCACATATTCAACCAATCAAAAATAAAAACTTTTAAGTTCTAGAAAACAAAAGTTAAAATTGCTTTTATTTTTAAATGCTCTATTTTATCTATATTATGTCTTTCAAGTCATTAAATGAAAGCAATCTGTAAATGTTGAAAGAAAGAAAATGTTACATTGTTGCTGATCTATACTTACAATTAGACCTACAAATATAATGATTGCACCTGTATTAAACATGTACACTTGTACAGATATTTTTGTATACAGTGGAACCTCACTTCACGAGCATAATTTGTTCCAGAATGTTACTTGTAAAGCGAAACACTCATTAAAGTAAATTTTTCCCATATAAATTAATGTAAAATACGATAATGTGTTCCATTCCAAAAAAAAATAATATTTTATGTATAACATTTATTCAAAGAAAATTATACAATATACATTGTTAAGGGATGTGAATCATCATCATCTTTTCTTCTAGCACAATTCAATTTGCAGAAAACAAAGAAAATCAAAATACAGTAATTTCTAATATTTAATTCTAGCCTTTACATAGCCCAAAAATTTGGCATATCATTTGGCATGTTTATAACAGGCTATGGCTGTTGATGTTTATATGTAATATGTCTGAACACAAGTTTAGAAAAATGTGTGATCACAAGCGACACCAAGATGCTTGCAGAATGAGTGCTAAACACAGATTGATATAGCATGTGCACAATCTGGGACTTCCCCCTCCTCGTCACTTGTTAAGCAAATAATTTTTTTACAATTTGCTTTGCTCATAATGCAAATTACTCATTATGAGAGCTTCTCATTAAATGAGGTTCCACTGTAATTATTCCTACAGTGGTATAAGTACTTTCAAAATGAAAGATATCAAATGGAAAAAATACAGTGGGTGTCCATTGACAAAAATTAACAACTTGTCAATTGCAACCTTTATGCATTGCATTGAGATTGATAAATGCTGCATTAATTTTGCAGCAGAGACTAATCTTACTTTCTATACAGTCCATCATATTCTTACAAAAGTATTATGTATAAGTTTTCTCTTAGTGGATACCTAGTATCTTCACAAATAGTCTTCAGTAATAGATATGCTATGAGACTTGCCAGAACCATTTGGAATGTTACAATAACGAAAATGAAGATGACTTTCTGCATCAAACTGTTAAAATAGATGAAACCATCATATGATTACAAAACAGAATTGAAACAGCAATTCAGAGAATGTAATCATTCTATGTTGTCAAAACCAACAAAAGTTCAACAAAATCCTTCATGTACAAAAGTATCGGTGATTGTTACTTATGATCATAAAGAGATACTTTTTACCACAAAGTGTACTGTCAATGTGACTTACTATTGCTTATCCTACAGAATCATCTCCTTCCAAATATTTCCAAAAAACATCATCTGCAACTGATTGCCCTCTATGATAAAGTAACAAAACACTACTAGTAATACTAATAGTCATAGTTTTCACTATATCTGCACTAACTGGCAGTTATTCTGCAATACCTTCAATAACATCTTCAGACAATGACCACAACTTCACCTATAACAAGGTTTCAAATGCCATCCATTTGCTTACTGATAACAAAACCCCAGGTCTTGATGGCATAACCACTAGAATGATAAAACACATGCTACAGCATTTGTAATTCTCTTCAATATCGGCTTGAACACTGGCTTTTTTCCTACTCAGTAAAAAAAGGCTAGCATCAAATTGATTCCCAAACCCACCAGCACTAATACTTACAAAAAATACAGGCCGATCTGCCTTCTCCCAACTCTGGGAAAAGTATTAGACAGTCTAATGATTAACAGGATCACATGTCATCTATGCAAGCATAGAGCCTTGCATCAGAATCAGTTCAGCTTCTCTAAAAACAGAGATACAGTAGATGCCATCCATCAGGCTAAACAAAACAATCAGCATACCGCAATTATCACTATTGACTTTAGAGGTGCCTTTGATCACGCCTGGTGCCTTTTATCCTGCACACATTACATGCTCATCACTGCCCTCATAATCTTTACAAACTTCTTCAGTCCTATCTTAGCAACAGGAGTGCAGGTGTTTAGAATGTTGTTGCATATGTCCTGTAAGCGTTTACTGTTTCTGTGTGATACTAGGATAATCATGTCATCCGTATAGCCCTGTATGTGGCAGCCAGGAGGCAGGGTGTCGTTTAAGTGCAGAATGGAGTTATAGGCTATGTTCCAGAGATCAGGACCAGACCTGGATTCCTGAGAACAGCCTTGAGTGATGGGTATGACTATGTTATTTTGTGTTGTATAGTCAGTCATACAAAATAACATAGTCATACCCATCACTCAAGGCTGTTCTCAGGAATCCAGGTCTGGTCCTGATCTCTGGAACATAGCCTATAACTCCATTCTGCACTTAAACGACACCCTGCCTCCTGGCTGCCACATACAGGGCTATACGGACGACATGATTATCCTAGTATCACACAGGAATAGTAAATGCTTATAGGACATATGCAACAACATTCTCAATGATATTCACCATCCATTAACACAGACAAATGTAAAAGCATGATAGTTGGTAGGAATGCACCACTCGTCAGGAAGCTTACCCTTCGAATAGGTGCTGACAAAATAAAGCAAACAACAGAAATTAAATATTTAAGTGTTATTCTTGATGAGAGACTAAACTTCACACCCCACATCAAATATATCACAGACAAAGCTAAAAAGATGGCCAATGCCCTCATTAGTATTGCTAGGAACACTGAGGTCTTGGTCCTAATGCTACTAATCTTCTTTACAAGGGTGAAATACAGGTCTGGGGCCATGTGACTGCCAAAATTCATAACTGTAAAAAACTGTTATCTGTTCAAAGGATTGCAACTCTCCACATTTGTAAGGGTTATAGGACCACACCCTTTGGTAATGTCAGGGTTGAGCCCTATTGACTCAGAAACTAAATGCATTATTTAGCAGGAAAATCTTGTCACCTTACCCTGGCGAGATTATAGCAACTTGGATGTCAACAAAATGATTAGAGTAGGTAAGATTCCCCCAGTTTGACCTTGATCAATATCAAAAAATTCAGCATTGACAAAAATATTCTCCTGATTTACAATTACCACCCCTCTCATCAGTTTGCCCGACGTTTACTTCGAAGATCCAGGTGATCATCCCATATTTAGGATTTATACTGACAGATGACAATGGGTGCCGCTTTTGTAGTTTACTCCAACTTAGGCCAGAAGCTTCACAATGCTTGCTTCCATCTAAGTACACACTGCTCAATAGCATAGGCGGAAACTTTAGCTATTTATATGAGCTTAATTCACATTACATGTAGGAAGGACTTACACTATCGCATTTATTCTGACAGTAGGGTAGCTTTACACAGGATTGCGAAGTCTGATAGGCAACTAAAACTCATCCATTTCATAAATCACATTCTCAGACATTTAGATAACAACACTAGAATAGATTTCCAATGGGTCCCAGGTCATGCAGGGGTTATTGGCAACGAGACTGCTGATTGTCTTGCCAAACAAGCTACAGAGTCTTCAGTCACTAGTACTTTCAGTTACATTCCTACCTCATACATCAACAATCATGTCAAGAAGCAAATGTTCATTCTCTGGCAAGACAGTTGGGACCATGACATCACTGGACACTAGGCTCACCTACACTTTCATCCCCAAGGTTGACACTACTGTGATTCTTTGCCACTTTTACCCAAGTTACACCCTCACTCAGCTACTTACAGGACACAGCAACTTTAAGCAATACTTGCATAGATTTAACCTTGGGGTCAATCCACAATGCGATTGTGGTATTCAGGAAGACCAAACACACTTCACTTAGTTTTTCATTGCAATAAGTACAATCACATAGATAGTTTAATGAGAGTTACTATTCTTGAAAGGTACAACTGGCCTTGCAACCCATACCAACTCATTCACACACAACAATGTTCATCATCTACTCGCATTCATATCCCTTAGTGGAGCTCTTGAGAGCACTCACTACAGGGACACGGATGGCAATTAGCTTTCCCTTGCTTTGTTTCAACTGTCAGTATATAGCTGCTTTCAACTTTGTAGTTTAATTCTTATTTTCCGTCTTCTTTTCAGTCTAAATTCAGTTAGTTTAAGTTAGTCTTAGTTGTAAGTTGTTTGGTAGATTAGGAACTCTTAGTTTGATTTCCAGTCAGGTTATGACAGGTTAGGTTAAATTAGATTAGCGTTTGTTAGCTTTAGTCGTCTGATTTGGTTCGTCCTAGGTTATGGTAGGTTAGTTTAGTTAGTGAGTAAGTTAATGTTTAAAAAAAAATATATATATATATTGGGATCTTGCTCATTTGTCTTCTGTTGGTCCATTCATCTTGTCATTGTGTTCATTTGTTTTCACACTGTCTGTCTAGTTAATAGTATTATGATTTGCACTTGCATTTAGTTTTATTAATATTAAGTAGATATAAGTTCCTATTAACAGCCAACTTAGCACTAGCTTCTACACTTAGCTATTTGTGGTGGCACTCAATTATTGGTGTTCTCTACACTCAGGTTTTCTTTTAGAGCCTTCGGAGACTATGGCCTCGCAGCCTAAAATCTGCACACCAACATCAAATGTAGTTGGTACAGTAGCGATATGTATGCCATTCAGAGGGATCCTACCTTTCTCTATTGTCTATCTCCTCTCCCTCTTTCTTTCCCCTTCTCTTAAGCTCATTTTTGCCAGCTAAACACTTTGTTGTATATGGCCAATGTCTTTTATGTGTGTATGTATGTATGTATGATAAAGTAACTTCATATACTGCCAAATCTATGCAATCATACATTCATAAGCAAGGTTGGAGATCACAGAGCATCCTCCCTATTCACTGGATCTCAGTCTATGTGATTTAGATCTTTTCCCAAAAGTCAAAGAAGGATTGCAAAGTCAGAGGTTTGATATCAGTCAGAGATATGATGAATGTTCAGCAGCGCTCTGTTTGATGTTTCAACTATAAAATTGGTCCAAGGAATAATGACACAACCATTTTACTGGAGAAAATGCATGGAATAAGAGGAATTCTTTGAAGGATGTTGATAAGGTAAGTTATTTTAGTCAAAGTCTATCTAGGTAGTTGCAATGGCTGCGCTTCCAACTGTTCATGATCCTGATGAACTTCTCCCAGAGGGGAACTGCTGGCAGGCTGCTGAGTGTTTAACATTACTAGTTATTGATTCACGGTAGTTCTTGAACAAAACAAAAAAAAAAGCAAACGTCTACTAAAATATAGTTAACCTAACCTAACCTAACCGAAGCGCTGCCATTGGGACTACCTAGGTAGAATTTAACCATTATTTTATCACTGGTACTCTCATTTTCACTTTCAGAAACTGTCATATTTTTTGGATGAAGAAAAATTGTTGCCATGACTTATCAATTATATCCATTATAACTTTGTAGCTACTCTGCACTTTAATGTTTTAGTAATTTAATATATCAATAATCAATGCAAACAAATGTTAGGTTTAATTTTGAATATACAATCCACTAGGAATTGCTGTATTAGATAGCTAAAAACGATGAAGTTGCTTTTCGGTCATTTATGTACAGAAATGAATATATACCAATTACGTAAGAGTAATCACTAGCAAATTTAAAAGGATAATTCAGGTTTATTACCTTTAATCCCATCTCTTTGGCCATAAACAACGCTTACACGTTTATTCTGATATTCAAGAACGATCTCTAACGGATAACTAAAAGTTTTTTCTACTTCAATTTTCGGTATATTATGATCGTAATGATATATCAAACCACCTGCTTTACTAATAACATACACACTGATAATCCCCATTTTATTTTACGAGCAATGTTTATAGTGGCGCCTTCTGAAATTTAAAAATAAAATCAAAACGCATTTTGTTCTTACGTGATACAAATAAAATGACAATGAATTAATCAATATTATAGTCATTAAGTAAATAATAATTGTATTTAATTGTGATAAATTTTATAATTTTTAAATACATTGCGTTTATGATAACGTTCCATTAGCGATACTGGGTCGGCAATGTTTCATTATAACGATGTTGATAAATAATTTTATTAAAAAATACTAGAAAACGCATATATTTTATCAAGATGTGTGGGATATACAAATGGCTAAGGTACTAAATACACCGGCCTGCCGTTTTGGAGATTCGGGATCGAGTTCGGGTTAGCTCATAAATTTTTAATAAGAGCTAGAATCGAATGTCGAGTCCCGTCACTTCCTATCCGCTCTGTCGCCATTATGAGCTTGGCCAAATCCAGTGGCGTAGCGTGGGTGTCAGCCGCCCGGAGCGGAGGAAAATTTCGCCGTCCCCTTATTTTAGATATCTCAATTTAAAAGACTAAAATTCAGTTTCGTCACAGAATAAGTAATGAAAAATTCCGTGCTCATTTCAATCGGTCCGAATCGTAGGTGCGACAAAAATATGAAATGAAATGAAATGAAATTTTTACAAGATATTATTATTATTTATTGTGAAATTTTTCCGCCCCCTAAAAATGCCGCCCGGGGCAGGCCGCCCCTGCCGCCCCCACTGGCCAAATCCATAAGAACGTTAAAAGACTGACTGCGCCATATTCTTTCCAGTTTCGTATTGTTACCTACTTGTACGAGTTGAAGTCATTCACTAATTCATTTTGTGCATTAATTAATAACAAGTAGTTAGTGAAACTGTTATTTAATTTATCGTGGTAAATAAATGTATTATTTATTTATAAATTAAGAATATTCTAAATTGGATTAATAACATTAATATTTAGCTTTGGCGAGGGATGGGGCCCGACATATCTGGTCGGACCACCCCTGAAGAATTCCTGGGAATTTTTGACTCGTCCAAATTCGATCCTAGGTCTACCATTTGGATTAATAACGCTTGGCCATCCGGCCACATCCTAAGTCTCTTTTCAAAAATACGGAGTAATGTTATTTAGACCAACGGTCGGCAACCGGTGGTCCGTGGAGAAATTTGAACATTGATCAACCGAAGGTTACGCGAAGTATTACGAAATAAATACAAAATGCTTAGTTGCTTTTTTCACTCATTAGGGTTTTTTATTCGAATCTAAAACCAAAAACGAAGTGACTGTTATCAATAAATAATGAACAATAAACAATATTGTGAGTGCGATTGTCGTCCTTCGTGGAAAAGCGCGAAGAATCCATAAACTTGTTTCAAACAAACAGCAATGAACTTTAGGCTTGCATTAATTTGTTATAATTAAACATGTGAGTTTCATATTAATATAGTAAAATTGAACTTTTATAATCATTATTCTACAGATTTTGTATCGTTTAAAAAAATTCATGATAATGGTCCGCGAGATTCCAAAATTGTGACTTTAGTAGTCCGTGGGGTGAGAAAGGTTGACGACCGCTGATTTAGACAATATTATGGTTGCGTATGTGAGTAATGAATTTTTAATTAATGCAAACAATAATGTTTTTTAGGCTATACACTTATGCGTATTACAGAACGTTCAATTGCTAATAATAATAGCGCTTCTTTCAGTGGCAGAATATCAAATTTTAAGTTTCCCTATGTTTTATTTTATTCATAATTCATCTCATAATCTTACAGTATTAATTTTATAGAAAAATTTATTTTTAAGCAAAGTGTCTATCCATAAATTAAACTTAATTTTATTTTTAACTAATAGAAATTATGAATAAAGCATTCGTAATTTGTAACTATGACCCGAAACTGACACAAATCAAGTTGCTGCCGTTGACGCTGTTCGCGGAAGCGGCATGATTTAGAACTAATGCACGCTTAGGGGCTAGACGCTTGTGTTAATTTCCCANTAAAACTTCTCTAACGTCTGTAACTCGAATATTTCTCAAACTCGAAGTTTTTCCTGTCCCTTGGAGCTTCGAGTTAGAGAAGTTTTACTGTAACTATTCTCAAATTATATAGAACTACTCCATTATATTATACATGCATCCATCCAGTAATTATAGAATTTTCTAAAATAAAAGATTCATATTTAATTATAATTAAAAGTTGTTGATTCAATAATATGAAAACGTAATTTCATTTAAATCGTTTTGTATTATTTAGATAAATTATATGAAATTCGTTTTCATGAAAAAAAATAATTTATATAGGCCTAATTTAAAAAATAAAAATGAATTGCTCATAAATATTAAGAATAATTGAAGAGTTTTGTACTAATTATTTGTTAGAAGAGAATTTAGATAAAATTATAAAAAGGAATGCCGAGAAATGGATCTCGTTTAGCACAGATAGTAAGTGGCTATGAAAAAAATAAAATTATTCAAACATAAGTGTCACCTGTTTACCTGGGAGTTTTTTTTTTCTTTTGCGATTGCTTTTTTTTAATATTAATCTTAGCTTTTATGATGTCAAAGGCAGATTTTGCAATTAATTCGACTATACTCAGGGCCAGATTTACTCTTTTGCTGCTGCAGGCACATAATACAAATGCTTAGAATGACACTTTTTCTGACGTAAATGCTTTTAACACTAATTACGAATTAGAATATATAACGTGTACTAAATTTAATATACTAAGTACAACCATTGAAAAAATTATGGAATTGCTTCATCTTGAAGACGTCTTTAAGCGTGTAGCAAATAAAACGGGCAATTAATACAAAACACTTTTTAAATAATAGTCAAATCTTTTAACTATTTTAGCTATGACTTAAACAATCGAAATAACAACATATAAATTAAACAAATAATTTATAAATTTTGTAACTAGGAAAAAATTTTGGAATCATGTAATACTGAGGAAAAATTATGGAATTTGTCATCGTAAATAATTTAAGTAATACTTTGTTGCTTCACCTCGAGCGTTTATTCTTTCAGGCATGGATTTCACTAATGAAAAATAATATTCACTATCGACAGCTTTCCAACTTTCCCGAATAACATAAAGAAATCTGATTTGCAGCAGAGCTTTATCCTAGACCAGTTTCATTAATTTTCACCACATATTTTCTATCGGGTTGGGATCTGGACTGTTTTCCGGCCAGTCCATTGTGTTACTGTACAGTTTTTTGGCGATATCATTTTCCAAGATGACAAGATGCATTGTCATCTTGGAAATGACATCGCCAACGACAAATATTTTCAATGGATGGAATAAGAAAGTTCTTCAATGTATATCCTACCTTAGCTTTAACTGATGTTGATGTAATATGGGCAAGCTCGCCTGGTCCTTTACCTGACTTGCAACCCTAAATAATAACCGAGATAAAAAGTTTTGTCGTTTCCCTTAGGCAGCCATCTTTCTAAGCTTCATTAGAATAGCACTAGACAAAAGTACAGCATCCTCTCCATGACCAATGCAAACTCGTGACTCATCACTAAATATCACTCATCCAGTCGTCTACGGCCCACGATTGCTTTTCTTTGGACTATTGTAACCTTGTTTTCTTGTTTTGATATCAGTGTTGGTTTTTGTTTTATTTTTGTATATGAAAATCCCATTTCTTTCAGATAATTTCTCACTGTTCTGTCACAGATTTCTTGTTATACATTTCCTATTTTCAAAGACATATTGCTTTTAGTTTTCTATCCTGACGTTTCGATGTCTTTCGTGGTCGACCAGTATGTTTCTCTTTTATAATATTCTCAGTTTGTTTATATTTGCACTAAATTTTCGATACAGCTATCTGTGAACAACCCACATCTTTTGCAACAGTTTTTGTTTAATAGCCTGCTTTCTTTAGAAGTTTTATAATCCTTTCTATTCTTTCAATTTCCTTCTAGGTGTCGTGTCATGGTGCATTAGCAGAAGAGTAAAGCATTTGAGTGATTACAAGCATTTACTTTATATTCAGACTTACTATTTGTGTCAATTGCTTATCTTGTTTATTTGCTACACGCTTTAAAAACTTCAAAAACGTCTTCACAATGAAGTGATTTATTAATATTTACCAGGATTTGTATGAAAATGATGCATTTTATAATAAACAGTACGGTTAACGTACATGGTACATTTTGTTTTAATTAAAAGATTAAATCGTGCATATTAGCGTCTGTTATACATTACAAATGGTCAAATTTATCTGATGTAATTAAATTGTTTAAATTATTATCTTTATTTATGTACACGACTTAATAATTAATTATAAATATTGCAATATTTGAAATTACAATAGAATCTCGATTTAACATATTTTCGCATTTAAACTTTTTATTTTTATTTTTATTTTTAACGATTTCTTCAAATCTGATTCACGAAAATTAAAAATACAGTAAAACTTCTCTAACGTCTGTAACTCGAATATTTCTCAAACTCGAAGTTTTTCCTGTCCTTTGGAGCTTCGAGTTAGAGAAGTTTTACTGTAACTATTCTCAAATTATATAGAATTTTGGAGATAACCAAAATAAATTTTAATCATCTCCATTTCAATAAATAAAATTTCTTATAGCCTAAATGAATTTTATAATTATTTGTAAAAATATAAATCTAAACATCAAATAAAAATAATTTAAAATAAGTTTGTTTTATTCAAATGTCATTGAACTTAATAGAAAAATGAATAAATCAAACAAAAGTAAAATTAACTAAATGATGCTTTTTATCTGATATATTTGCATTTTAAAAAATGATAACGTGGTTTTTTTTCTTTTTTGGGAGAGAAAAACTTTACTGTAAGCTCTCTTCCATTCTATCTAGTTAAAATCCATAATACAAGCAAACACATGGTCATTCGTTTCCTGAATAACTTATGCAAATAATGTGTTATTGCCCGGCAAGTGCCATAAGAAATAACTTTACATTTCGTAAAATTTTATTTATAAAATGCGTAAAACGAATATGTCTATTTGTAACAAATTTATTACTGAATTAAATGAAGTATTCTAAAT